GAAAGATGCCCTCCTCCCCTCACCCTCAACACCTGCAGTAGATGGGGGACCTGACCCAACCCCTCACCAGCAGCTGCAGCACTCAGGAGAAGAGATCCTGCTCATCATCTGGGCAGCACAGTACAGTTGACCCTGTAGACAGAGGCACAGGTGAGCCAGCCCTAACGGCGTGAGAGGGGCATAACTGCCATGGCCTCTCTCATCTTCCGTGCAGTGGTGGAGATGAAGGAAAGATGTCCTCCTCCTCTTGCCCCTACTGTCCTCAGCTGGTGAGGGAGCTGACCCATTTATCAGCTGCAACACTTGGGCAAGCGGGCCTCGCACCTCATCTGGACAGCACAACAGAGCTGACCCTATTGACGAGAGCACAGGGGAGCCAACCCTGAGAACATGAGCATGGGAGACCTAGTTCCACCCCTCATCTGCCATATGGTGGCATGGGGGAGGGAGATGCCCCCCCATCAATGCCTCAGGCAGGTGGGAGAGCTGACCCTGATGTCATAAGAGCAGGAGAGCTGTCCCTGCCCCCAACCAGCTGCAACACTCTGAAGAGCAGGTCCTGCACCTTGCCTCGGCAGCACAATAGAGCCAACCCTATTGGCTGACGTGTGGGTGAGCCAGCCCGGGAGTTGTGAGCATGGAAGAGCTGTCCCCACTACTTGTCTGTAATACAGCTATGTGGGTGAGGGAGAGATGCCCCCCTTACACTTCGCCCCTCATCACATGCCACAGATGAGCAAGCTGACCCTCCGCCTTACAGGTGTAGGACTCTGGAAAGTAGACCCTGCACCTCGCCTAGGCAGCACAGTAAAGCTGACCCTTTTGATGGAGGTGTGGGTGAGCCAACCCAATGTTGTGAGCCTGGGAGAGCTGACCCCATTACTCATCTGTCATGTGGTAGCACCGATAGGGGAGAGAATCCCCCCAACCCATCATCACCTGAGGCAGGTAGAAGAGCTGGCCCTGAGGTCACAAGAGCAAGAGAACTGTCCCTGCCCCTTATCAGCACTCAGAAGAGTGGCCCCTGCACCTTGCCTGGGCAACACAGTAGAGCTGGCCCTGAAGGTGTAGGTACACCCAACCCTGAGGGTGAGAAAGCAGAAGAACTGGCCCCGCCCCTTGCACATCTTGTACATTGCTCCAAGAGGTGAACTAGCCAGGGCAATGCTGGAGAGCTCAGCCTGGTGGTGAAGACAGGGGAGAGCTGGCAGGCTGACCAACCCTGAAACTACCCCAGCCCAGGACCAGGGTTATGTGATAGCCCACCCCAACATCCACCCCATCTGTGATCTGCTGGAGCATGGGGAGCAGGTCCTGCAGGTCCAGGGCTGCAGGATCTCCATGACACAGAGCAGCAACAGGATGTCCAGGAAGAGACACTGGGCCCGGCATCGAGGGTGTAGCAGAGAGCAGGGACTTCTTCAGATCAGACCAATGGTTCTTTAGGATGAATGCCTGCAGGTAAGAATGTATGAATAAAGCGGTTTACTGTGTGACTCACTGTGTCGTACGGCAGCTCCCATGATGAGATTTCCTTTCTCCCCTTTTAATTCTTCTTTCGCTTAAATTTTATTTCGTTTTATTGGGGGGGGGATGGGTGGGATCAGGAGGCATGATGTGAAAGATACAAAGAACAAATAAAAAAAGCAAACAAAAAACAATAAAACAATCATGCTTTCTTATCTAAGGATTCGAGAAGAATGTGGTGCTAGATAGTTTAATTGTAACCTTGACACAACTAAGTGTCACCCCGGAGGAGGGAACCTTACTTGAAGAATTTCCTTAATCAGATTCTGGTCACGTCTGTGAGAGATTGTCGTGACTGATGTTAGACATGAGAGGGCCCTGCTCACTGTGAGCGGCACCATCTCTAGGTAGACGGGCCTCGGTTATATAACAAAACTAACTGAGATTGAGCCAGAGAATAAGACAGTAATGAGCAGTGCTCCTCTATGGTTTCTGCTTCAGTACCTGCTTGAGTTCCTGCCCCGACTACCCACAATGTAGAACTGTGACCTGTAAGCCCTTTTCTCCCCAGCTGATGTTTATCACAGCGACAGAAAGCAAGCTAAAGCAAGTGTGAAATGTTCAAACTTGAGATGGAGTTTCTAAAGTGAGTCCATTCGGGAGAGCACCATCAACAACTCCACCAGGAGCTGTGCTAGCTGGGCCTTTAGGCTTTTTCTCCTGAAGCATACTTTCCCGCACAGAGACTGAAAACCCCCAGTGTCTCATTATGAACAATGCTCAGGACCTTGGCCCCTGTGGGACCTCGGCTAATATTTCCTACCAGCAACTGTGTTTCTCCTATCATCTTTTCCCACCAACCCTACTCCCAGGAGGCGGGTCCCACCTCCTGCCCTTCCTTGATTTGGTAACATTAGCAATGTATAAGACCTACCCAGTGGCCCCAAATACATCAAAAACATATCAGTTCATTTCTCTAGTACAGACTATTTATCTCCTGGAACTTCACCGCCACCCCATATCTAATAGACATTCCCATTTCATCCCGAGCCTACCTAAAACACTCCCTGTGGTTTCCCACAGCAATCCGGGAAGGTACTCTTCTTTACATCATGTCCTGAATACCCAGTTCCATCCCTATGCCAGTTGGAACATGAAATCCAAGCAATTTTCACATTTTGAAATTTTCTCTCGATCTTTATTTCAAGTGAACATGTTTATAAAACAAAATGAGGGAAAGGGTGTCCAAAACAACCTTCTATCTGGATGTATCTGCCTCTCCTATGCCTTCAAGTCTTGGCAGGTGACCTCTGTGGCACCTGCCAAGAGCACAGTCCCAGATAAATGTGTCTAATTTTCAAAATTTGTGGTTAAAACCATTTTCTTCTCAATATCCTGTTTAAGATGTAATTTCTAGAATGATCTGGCAACTGTTATCTTCCCTGTAAATTCTTCTACGTCTACCTATCAGCTACTCTCCTCAGCAATAAAGCACCCCTTTTATTCCCCCCAAAAGAGATGAATCCTTTCTCTTTTAAAAACTTGACCCACCAGCATATGCCCTTAATCCCAGCACTTGGTGGGTAGAGGCAAGTGGGTCTCCACTATGTAGACTAGCCTGGTCTACATAGTGAGGTCCACACCACCCAAAGCTATGTAGTGAGACCCTGCCTCAATCAAAAGACCCAAATATTTATGAGTCTATCAAGCTTCTCAACCCATTCATCTGAAATTCACATTCAGTTTCAACAAATTTATAAATTAATCTGAAAGGATTTGACATCTTTAAAATGTTGCAATATTCCATCACGAACATGGAATATCTCCCCATTTATTCAAGTCTTCCCTTTATGCTGTTTAATTGAATTTAATTTTTTCTTCCCCAGAGGGCTCCTTGACAAATTGATTCTGGTGAACAGTGTCTTACATTCTATTATGTTTCATGATTGGCATCTGCTGACGAGGAGACACACGATGGGTTCCGTAATTGCTTTTGTGTCTGACCATCATGCAGAAACATCTTATTAGTGCCCACAGAGGGTTTACTGGTGTGCTTGGCTCTCTCTGTGGTTGACCCTGGCCCTGGCCTGTAAGGATAGCTTTATCTCTTCCTTGCAGGCCTCATACCTCCACATGAGTCTGCTAAAGCTGCCTTACCAAACTTCCACAGATTAAGTGGCTTCAAGAGGACTTTATTCTCTGACAGTTCTGAAGGCTGAAAGCTTGAGATCAATGTGTGTGAGAGTGTGCGCCTCTTTTGATTTAATGTCATCTCCATGTGTCTCCACAATATCCTATCTGTATCTTAATGTCTTCTTACACAGATATTCTTAAGGGACAACATGAAACAACTTTTTTTAAGGATGCTGTCTTCAAATACAGTCACATTTTGAGGTTCTAGTGATTGAGACTTGCACACATAAATCAAGGACACAGTCTGTCCATTACTGGTTCTTGCTGCTTGTTCACAGGTAGAAAGGATTGGATTGGTGGCTGATAACTGTCTAGACCAGGGTTCTCAAGGATGTTGGGATACAAAGAGAGTTGGGATACAAGAGTCTTGCGTTTTATTGCTGTGACATTGTCAGTGGAGGTGCCCTTGCCTGAGATCAGTAGTGCAGACAGGGGATCACAGTTCCTCAGTTCATATGCACAGACTCAGCTCTTCTTCTAGTGATGCCACTGTGTCAAGGAATGAAGACACAAGGGACCAAGTGAAATGAGCTTCAAACAGTATCACTATGTCACCCCTGGGAGTAAGGACTGGTAAGACAGAATTGGCTGAGTAGAGCCAATCAATTCCTTCGGCCTAAAAGAGTCTTTAAGGTTCCTGGATGCATTTGAAGTAGGGTGGGGCCTGAATGTCCTACTTCCTGGGGTGGAGAGAGCTCCTGTAATGAATTTCAAAGATGTCATGAACAACCCAAGTACCAACAACATGAGAATGAATAATTAGTGATGTTGCTCCACAATGAATGACTAGATACTTTAAAAATGGTTGGACAAGGGCACCCATGCGTAAAATACCATGTTCAATGAAATATCAAAAAGGAGGGAAATTAAATCATACTTATGACATGAGATAGTTTAAAATACTGCAAAGCAATGCTTGTGGGCATATACATGCTGGTGCAGTGATAGGTTAAGAGATGAGCAGGAATGATAAAGACCTCCTTCAAGAGTTTGCCGCCTGGTCTTGTGGGGTGGCTATGTGGAGGAGAATGGAATAGGAAAGAGAGTCATGGGAATTCCTGAAGTACTAGAAATGTTGAGTGTCAGGTTAGATTGGGTCACCCACGTAGCACATTCTTCGGGTCTTGTACCTTTTGAAAGTTATTGCCTCACCACTTTTTGCAATCAGGTTCATATCTTAAGCTAGGGAGAGCATTCATAGCTCCCCCATTTGTTAATAATACTGTCTACCCCCACTGAGGTGTGAAGAGGCTCCTCCTCGAAGCCTATGATGCCAGTTTTGGAGGTGTTTGTTACACAAGAGAGAACTCTAACAAAGAATAATTTGAGTGCTGTTGAAAAAGGCAGGGACTGTGAAAGTGATATTTCTCTGACTCTTGTAGCTTCATAAGGACAAAAAAGCCACCTTTAGTTTTGAGCTGCAAAGCCCCAGCTGGCTAGCCCAAACCAGGAAGAGCCAGCTTCTGATTGTGTAGGCAGAGTGAGTGTTAGCTGGTGCTTTTCCTGGCGCCTAGGCCAGTCATTTCTGACCAACTCTTCACCTCTTTCAACCACATCAACTTGCCTCAAGGAGACACCCCTAGGGGAGTAAGAAAATAGACTCTTAAGCGTCTCTGCAAACCTCCAGAAATCAGTCAAGAATAGAGAAAGGGTGTGACATCTCATAAAGAAGAAGAAGATATCTCCCCTGTGCAGCTGGGAAGCAGAGATGATGAGGATGAAGTCCCGAACTTCGCAGCAACCCTCGTAGCTAGTACGATCCTGCTCCTAGTTGGATGTCCCGTAAAAGAACCACACTTCCTGTGATCACAGAGGGGTCTGGATGGGAAGAGATGACACTGGGTAAAAGCAATAGATTCTGATAAGACAAAGAGAGCAATCTCTCCCCCTGGTGCCAGTGTCCAGAACTCTGCCGGTGGTGAATAATGCACTTTTCCTCAAATGGGCTTTTGAAATGGATAACTGTGTGAGGGGGAGGAAGGGGTTTGGTCACAGAAATAGAGACAATTCCTTAAGTAAGAAACATGGCTCTTCCGTCTGACTCATTGTTAGGAGCTCAGCTCATGAATGGAGTGGGGAGACCTGGGACCAGATTGGACGGCTTTTCTCTACAGCTCCATTTATCTTCCCCACTCCTGCAGGGCAAATAAAAGGAGGAAATGCGTGAGTCTTACTTTAGTAAGAAAGCATGTTCTCCCCCAAAAAAGGCTGCATATAATAATATTGTTTGGGGATCTTTTTGCATCTTACAAGGTCTTTTAATAGATTATAATTTAAGAGGAAAGACAGACCTCAAATTTGACCAGAAAGCAGAGAGGATTTTATTCTCTTGGGAGGCCCCCAGAGTCATCCTCTTCCTGAATAAGTGGGAAATGATGGAGCCAAAGCCACAGCAAGATCCTCATCAGGAGTTGAGAGAACCCAGGGACCCACAGGGTGTAACATCTTGAAGTGCTGAGTCTGAGCTGGCCCAGCTGATCTGTGGAACAAGCATGGAGAAGAAGAATAGTACCCTAGGCAGCATCCTCTTAGCACCTGAGGAAAGAGCCTGGTCACATGAGATACTGAGAAGGAATGAGATCTGGGAAACAGAAGCCAGTGGACCCAGAGCACACAGGCAAGCCAAGCTTCTTAGTCTCTAAAACTGAGTTTGCTCAGGTCTGGACCAGCGTGGACTTCCCCAGACTCTGGAACTGAGGTAAGTCGGTAAGTACCGCTTGCAAGAGAGAGCACCCTAGGAGGAATGCCAGGGCAAAGGCAACAAGTGGATTGGCTCAGTGCCAGTAGCCTGGGAACAAGGCAGCCATGAGATCCTCAGCAGTTCAGTGTGCTGCTCTACCCTGCACCTCCTCTGTTTAAAGTGAAGAAACATGCATCTTTCAATGAACTCAAAGTGTAAATATTTTTAACCCTTGAATACTGGGAAAATGGGAAACACCCCACACGAAAACAGAGACACAAACCTGCCCACACAGACCATCCTTTCATCCTCTTTACAGGTTTAGCAGCCCTAATACATACCCCTTTCCTGATGACTGAAGTTCTAGACACACCCTTCACCTTGACCGTCAAACCTACATGAAACATCCTACCAGACTGCCCGTTGGCTCTCCAATGGGCAAGACAATGTCTCAATGGATTTGGGGACCAAAGTGCCCTACCTCACTGTCTTAGTGAAGAGATACCATGGCCAGCAACCTTTATAAAGAAAAGCATTTAATTGGGGCTTGCTTACAATGTCAGAGGTTTAGTCCGTTGTCATCTTGGCAGGAAGCATGGCAGCTTGCAGGCAGACATGGGGCTGGAGAAGTAGCTTGAAAGTTCTACATCTGGATCTGCAGGCAGCAGGAAGAGAGAGACACTGGGCCTGACTTGAGCTTTTGAAACCCAGTGCCCACCCCCAGTGACACACTTCTTCCAAAAAGGACACACCTCCCAATTCCTGTCAAGTAGCACTACCACTCCCTAATGACATACATGAGCCTATGGGAACCATTCCCAGTCAGACCACCACACTCACCCTCATCTATACTTTCCCTTGCCACTCCAACGACACACAAAAAAACAGTGAGTCTGGGTGTGGGTTCCAAATCATGCAGAACTGGGCTCAATCCCTGCTCCTGCCTCTAGCCATCTGAGTGAACTTTGTCTCAGACAAAATACTAAAGTTTCCTAAGCCCTGCTTTCCCATTTGTGAGGCTTCAATGATAATAAGAGCCTGTTTGGCAGGGTGGGTGGGGAGTTTAAGAGAAGAAAGCACTGCTGGGTGGATTCCACTAAGAATCAAGTGCCCTGCCCTCCCATGGGAGGGATAGGTGATGAGTCTTGGGGATTCTAAAAATTTCAACTACTATTACAGAAATACAAGTGGTTGTCAAAAGTCTGTTTGGGAATTTGCAGGATGGCTCAGCAGGCAGGAGAACCTCCTTCCAACACTGATAACCTGAGTTTAATATCTGGCATCACATAGTAGGAAGAGACAGATGACTCCCATGGGATATAGTTCAGTGGTGGAACTATGTCGTGATATGCTGGTGCAATAGTGGTACACAAGTTGTGTGAGTAACTATTGATTGGATTTAAGGGCCGCTCCATGAGATACATCCCATACCTGACACTGCTCAGGAGGTCAAGAACCTGGGACTAGATAGGCCACGGACCTGCGGGAAAACCAAACACTGTTGTTCTGCTAAAGAAATATAGCAATATAATGACTCGTAGCAACATACCCAGAGATCAGTGTCTTCCTCAGCCATCTTCAAAGAAGCTTCCTCCTGGAGTTTATGGGAACAAATTCAGAGAGCCACAACTGGACAATGTGCAGAGAATGAGAGACCTTGGAACAGCCAGTTATAAACCGATTATCTCCATCAAACCTCTCCCTTCAGAGCTCAGGAAACTTTGTGGACAAGGAGACAGAAAGATTGTAAGAGCTAGAGGAGGTGGAAGACACCAAGGAAACAATGCCTTCCAGGCAAAACAGGTCCGACAGACATATGAACTCACAGAGACCGTGATAGCGTATACAAGGTCTACACAGATCTAAGCCAGATGGGGTCCCAGTGCTCAGAGGGAGAAGTGGACACCATCTCCCATTCCTAACCAAGAAGCTGACTCCAACTGACAACCACTTGCAAAGGAAAAATTAATCTCTCCAAGGGAGTCTCACTGGGTGTACAAACCACACTTAAGGGTGGGTTCCACACACAGAAGTAGATGGTAAACACAAAACGAACTCTAGGGTATTCTATAGATTTTTTGGCTCCTATTGCTTTGTTTTGGGCAATTTTTGTCTTACTGGTCTTTGGTCTGTATAGTATGGTTTCCAATTCTGTGTCTTTACGAGTTTTGTTTTTGTGTATATGTATATCTGTGTATATGTGTGTTTCTTGTGCTTTTTCTTTTTTGTTGTTTGTTTGTTTGTTTATCCTGGTTTGGAGAGTTGTTTGTTTGCCTGTTTTTTTTCTAAGAGAAAGAAAGAAATCATTTTGTATTTGTTTGTTTGTTTGCTGTAGGTGGAAGTTTTCCTGTGTCCCGGCCTGCTGGCAATCAGGACAAATCTCCCCCACTCACATCCCCCAAGTAATCACACAGAGGCTTATATTGATTATAACTGCATGGCCATGGCTCAAGCCTTTTGCTAGCTAGCTCTTATATCTTAAATTAGCCCATAACTATTAATCTATGTAACACCACATGTTTCATGGCTTTACCTGCATCTCACTACATGTTGCTCCTTGGGTGGCTTGCTGGCATCTCCCCCTAGCCTTCTTCCTGTCTCTCTCTTTGAATTTCCCACCTGCCTCTAAGCTGCCTTGCCATAGGCCAAACGACTTTATTTATCAACCAATCAGAGCAACACATATTCACAGTGTACAGAAAGACATTTCCCCCATCAGTTTGCTTGCCTGTTTTTTTAAAAGAGAAATAAAATCATGGAGTTGGTTGGTTGGGGAGGTGGGAAGGATCTGGGAGGTGGGAGAGGGGAAACCATGATCAGAATATATTGTATGAAAAAATTATTTCCACTTCATGTCCAGAATATGCTGGATGAAGTGAGTAGCCAATGTAAAGAGCTTTACCAAAGCATCTAGAATGTGGTAAGTGTTCAAAACAGCAGAGGGTTTTTGTTTTATTTTGTTTTTTTAGATGCCCTTGAAACTCAGGAACCTTATAGTATTTTGTAGCTGATGCTCTGTCCTACGTCTTATGACATGGGATGTGAACTCCTAATCCAAAAATCCAAACGTTCCAAAGCCTGAAACTTCTTGAGTTCTACCATGACCCTCACGAGTTTGAAATTTTGTAGAATTTTAGATTCCAGACTTCAGATAGCTGAGGGATGTTCACACAGCAAAGTCTATGCAAACAATCCAATATGAAGGAATCCCCAGTCTGAAACACTGCTGATCGAAAGCATTTGGATAAGGGAGGAGAGTTCTGGAGTTCATTCAATTCAGGGAAGATGGGAGCCTTAGAAAGCGCCCCCAACTTCTCTGGAAATCAGAGACCCCTTACATTCTACTCTGACTGGGTCCCTCCCTAAGCCTGGGTTTTTTCTTTTAGTCATAGAAGGTTCCGCCAGCCTTGGGCCACATTGAGGGATGGAGCTGAGGGAGCTGAACTACAATGAGTGAGCAGAAAGCAAGCATAGCAACCATCACTATGCGTGGCCTCCTCTGCTGGTACCTGAAATGACTGTGGATTGACATCCTCAGACACCACCACCAACACAGCCCTCCCTCGCTGCTCTGCAACAGCAGATTCACCACCCTCATCCTGATGGAGTGAATCTGAACACACAGGGCGATGACCAGAGCTTCTCGGATCCCTCAGAGGCAGGGCACTGGAGAATGGCTTCCTTTGGGGAAAGCAGAGAAACCCAAGAGTCCAGAGCTATGACAACAGAATCCACAAAGGAAATAGATGGGACCACAACACAGCTCTTGGGCTGGAAGGATGGAGGAAAGTTGCTATGACAACCGGCTACCCTTCATCCACTGAGAGTGCCAGCAATATTTGTGCTATAGTGAGCTAAAAATTACTAAAGAATAAATTCTAAATATAGACTCATCAAAATCAATGCATGTCAAAGATAGTTTTATCTCTCTGTATTTGTGTGTATGTTGTATGCATGTGTGTGTGTTCATGTGTGTGGAAACGGTCTCTCGATGAATCTGGACCTCACCATTTTGGCTAGACTATCTAACCAATGAGCTCCAGAAAAAGGATGGGGAAGAAGTGATGACTCTTTCCCTGTGTGTATCAGGGTTTCAGTGGGCCAATTCACAGAGAAGGCCTGTCCCACAGCATGGAACAGAAGTCATTTACCTTCAGCATTCTCAGGGAAAGATGAGTCATTCTACTTTCATTCAGCTATGGGGATGCAGCATATACACATGCATACATAGAGATAGCTATGTGTATGTATATATATATATATATATATGTGTGTGTGTGTGTGTGTGTGTGTGTGTGTGTGTGTGATGTACACATATAGATATACTTCTATGTGAGTGTGTATGCAAATACATGTATATAAATATATGTAGATGTGTATACATATATGTGTGAACTATACATACAGGCACTTATGTGTGTGTATATATATACAAATTTATATATGTGGTTGTGTATACATGTAGATATATGTGCATATATGCATACAGATATATAGAGACATATACACACATAGGTACACATTTATATACCCATACATATAGATAGATAGATAGATAGATAGATAGATAGATAGATAGATAGATGGATAGATATATAGATATTTGCTTCTTACCCACAATAAGTTACAGGCTTCCTTCTGACTCAGATCCACTTCATCTTGACAGAGTTCTGATCTAGGGTCCTAGTTTTAGAGAGCTCAAGTCTCAGGTCACAGTTCCCTTCCTTGTGCCAAGCTAGCCCCAAGGAATCGTAAAACAGCAGAAATAAAATGAACGAAAAGCTAATACAAGAGTCAACTCCTCAGGAGTGACTCCAAAGCAGGGCAGAGGTGGTGGGCAGAGTTGGCCAGACAGCAGTTGGAAAGCGCCTCACAAACTGTAACCTCAGCACAGGGAACCCACAAAAGAAGACACTGAGCTGGTGTCCCAGCATCTCAAGTCAGGGTGACCTTCATGCAGCCCGGGGCTGGGCTCTGTGCATCTTCCGATTCTTGATATGACTGTGTCTCTGCTGCATAACCATGTCCCATGCTCTGCCACTTTCCAAGTGCGGGGGAGGCCCCTAGTCTTTCTCAGCAGAAAGTTCAGAAGAGGCCCTAGGTAGTAAAAGCTGTAGGCTTTGTTGTGTTTTCTTTTCTTTTCTTTTTCTTTTCCAATTCTCACCCTCAGACCACTAAATGGAAATGAGTCCTTTCCCTTTTCTGGGAGCGAACTACAAAACACACAGAGGCTGGCAAGCAGGGAAGCCCAGGGCTCCTGGGGCACAGGCACAAGCAAGTAGACTTTCTATTTAATTCATAGATTGTAAATTGACACTGTCACATGTAGTTTACACATCAGTCTCTTATGAGCCTGGACAAAAGGGCTTGCTGCCAAGGGAAATCACTACCTGGCATGGAGAAAATCCAGGATGATTTGGACTACAGGCAGTCAAGTCAGCGTCAACAACCAGCAATGAGAATAAGAGATTATGCCTACCAAAGGACAAACGAGAACATCACACAAGTCTTCAGGCTGCAGAGCTGTGCACAGTGTAGAGCCTAAGAGTCACATTCCCTGGGAGTCTTAAGCACTGCAGTTTTCTTCTCCTAGGCCAGGACCATGTTTAATGGTTTTTATTTTGTTGTTTTTGTTGTTACTATTTTACATACTGACCACAGTTTCCCCTCCCTCCTCTTCTCCCAGTCCCTTCTCCACCTCCCCTCTGACCCCCCATCCACTCCTCCTCTTCTGTTTCTCTTCAGAAAAAAGGCAGGCCTCCCACGGGTATCGGTCACACATGGCATATCAACTTGCAGTAAGAATAAGCACCTCCCCTCATATTAAGACTGGACAAGGCACCCCTGTATGAGAAATAGGGTCCCAAAAGCAAGCAAGAGAGTCAGAGACAGCCCCTGCCTCCACTGTTAGGAGTCCCACAAGAAGACCAAGCTACAAACTGTAACATATAGACAGAAGGCCTAGGTCAGCCCCATGCAGGCTCCCTGGTTGTTGGTTCAGTCTCTGAACCCCTATGAGCCATATTAGTTATTTCAGTGAGTTTTCTTGTGATGTTCTTGACCCCTCTGGCTCCTATAATCCTTCATCCCCCTCACCCACAGGATTCCCCGAGCTCCACCTAATGTTTGGCTATGGGTCTTTGCATTTGTTTCCATCAGTTGCTGGATAAAGCCTCTCTGATGAAACTGGGTTAGGTACCAATCTATGAGTATAGTAGAATATCATTAGGCATCATTACATTGATTTTTTTCCAATTGTATTTGGTTCTATCCTAGATCTCTGGACTATGCAACCTCTGGGTGCCTGCACCATTTCTTATAGGGCATGAGGGAAAGATGGCTTTGCAGTGAGGAGAGCTATATTCAGATATAACTGTGCATCTATTCTGTTCAGCATCTGGCTATAAGCTTGTTCTAGAGACTAGGACCTTTCCCCACACAAGCCCCTGGAGTAACAACTACATATATATGTCACAGCAGCAAAGAAATCCAAAAGAGAATCCAAAGCCAAGCCTATGGGACTTGGGGATCTCTGAAGACTCACTATATACCCAGCACCCAGGGCGCCTCCCAGAGGACAGGGCGAGGTTGTCATCTTCATCCTACCAATAGGAACATGGGAGAACTGAAGCAATGGCCCAGTTCAGAAAGAAGTGCTTATCATGCAAGCATGAAGAATTGACTTTTCGGTACCCAGTGTCCATGTAAAAGCAGATGTCAGTGGTCTGCCCTTGTCGTCACCCCAACACTGGGTAGGGGCAGAGACAGGTGTACCCACCAAGCCTGCTGGTCAAGCCAAATTGTGAGCTTCAGATTCAGTGAGAAAGTTTGTCTCAAAAATGAAGGTGACATGATCATCTCATTTGATACGGAAACAGCCTTTGACAAAATCCAACATCCCTTCATGATGAAATTCTGGAGAGACTTAGGATACAAGGGACATACCTCAACATAATAAGGGTGATTTACAGCAAGCCCACAGCCAACATCAAGCTAAATGGAGAGAAACTCAAAGCACTCCACTAAAATCGGGAACAAGACAAAGAAGTCCACTCCCTCCATACCTATACAATATAGTACTGAGTCTTAGTTTGCTAGAGCAGTAAGACAACTGAAGGAGAGAGAGGGGATACAACTAGCGAGGGAAGAAGTCCAAGTATCTTTTTCTGCAGATGACACAGTTGTAAAAATAAGTGACCCTAAAACCACTGCCATGAAACTTCTACAGCTGATAAACCCTTTCAGAAAAAGGGAAAACTACAGAATTAACACACAAAAAAATCAATGTCCTTCCTATATACAAATGGCAAACATATTGAGAAATCAGGGAAATAGCACCTT